GTGAAATTCAACTATTTACTTGTTGTCAAATGCAAGCTCTGAGAATTTTTCATTTTAACTTTAGAATTCCGATATGTAAACAGAGTGAAATACTAGAAGACTTCTGCAAATTGAACAACGATGGGGGACGAGCGTTTGAATTTGCAGCTAAACATCTGCTGTGCCAAGACGAGTTTGGGTAACTTTCTGATTTCGATCCATTTTCATAGACATGAGAGAAACCTTGTTACACCGACTTTATCATTCGTTCGAATAGTGAAGCCTGACTATTCGATGCATGATAAAAGTCGGATGATCAAGGAACCTCACTACCGTTTACAATGTTTTGCTCATTTGAAGTTATGTGCTAATTTTAAGTTTAGAAAATTGTTTTTGGATAAATGCTTCAATAATGTCGTTGAACTAATTTGTATGAAAATCAACCTTTGCTCTTGTGTCGATTTGTGGGGATCTGGAAATGAAATGTAGAGGACGTGTTCCATGAATCGATATTTGTAAATTTGGACCAGGTATCATTTTACTACAGCTGAATTGCTTAGGTTATACAATTAACGATTTTGCCGTCTTCTAAAAATTTACTTACAATGGGTCAGTTGACTTACGAAAAGTTCTTTCACATTTACGAATGTGTTTGAAAGAATCTTTGTCCATTAAGAGAATTGTTAAGTTAGATGTATGATTATAATGCAGCAGGGCATCCCACCACCACATGAGGTTAACCACAGGCAACCCATCACTACCAATTGTATGCAACCGAGTCCATCAATTCTAATATACCCTACTCGAACCCATCAACATAGGAACATAGGAAGGATAAATATCCACAAAAGCGTGGATTAATGTCTACGTCACTTTCCTCAACTTCCTCAGTATTCACCTCACTTTTCTCTTTAATCTACGCTTGTGTCAGTCTTTATATATTTCTAAATCACTCTTCTTCTTACCCTCTGGACATTTTTGACTTTGAATTTCAGGTCTAATGTTAACTATCAATCATATAGCCTGCCTTTGATAAAAATATTTTTTCCCACACTATTTTCACAGTCCCATAGAACAAGTGTTGTAGTGAATATTCCAACACAATGCCACACAATGTCATTAGGCATCTTGGCATGAAATGTGTTGGCATGTCATCCTTGTTTCTGGATTGGCCGATAATAAGTGTTCTGAGGGATGTATAAAAGCTGAAGACTATATGGGGAACAATTGGGCTAGAGTTAAACATGGATCGTTTCCGACCTAATTTCAACCTACCTCTTGGATGCCCTTGACACCTTTCTAATTTATGAATCCTAAGGCCGTAAGAACGCAACCGAATTGTTCTTCCAATTCATGACGGCCTAGGGGACCATGTCTTAGCAAGACTTTCTTGGTTTATAAGAATGCAATGTGCCGTTATTATTGTATGGGTATGATAGATCGATGTCTCTGCTGCTCAAACCGGATGTTATCCTACTGTCTAATTGATTGGAAGTATAACCGTGAGGAAAAGAAAGGGCATCGAAGTACCTATGATTTCTCAAAATGTTCCAAATTTGTTTTCCCTATTTGGAAAATTTGAAGCTTTTGACAGTGCGTTAAATGCGATCATAATGAATTCGCTGAAAATAATATTATGGCATTTGCCTGCTAAACAAGAAAGCACTTATCTTTGTCACCCCATGTATTTATAAAGGGACCACTCATTTCCGACTCCTTCAAACCAACTTTAATATGTTTTTTCTTACAAAAGTTTTATTCTCGGACACATCTGCCATTCTCAAGAGCAAGCAATTACGACAAAGCTGAAACAGGCCAGTATATGCCACTACTTCAAAATTTCTATTAATTGTTTACAAGTATGTGAAGTGAAAAACTTTGCTTACAAATTCAAGACAAGGACATTTATTAAATGGTCATACAGTCATGGAATATCTTCTCCATTCAGAATTTACATGCTGATCTCGACAATTCTGCAAAAATGTAGAGATTTATTATCCAGTAAATTCATTCAATAACATTGTTTTAACATTCATTTCAAACATTTGCTTAAGTGCTAAATTAACAGCGTATATGTAAGAAGTAAGAAATCGCACATTGTAGTGATATGTTTTGCCAAACAGACTTTAACCATTCGTGCCATATTCAAGGTGCACTATTCAAACGAATGATAAAATCGATAATGAAAATTAGTCAAAATATGAAAGTCCTGCAATCTCCATTTGGCTCAGTTGCAGACCAATCATGTCCCCATTCACTCGATTGACAACATTATCCAATGTGCAAAAGTTGTTCGGCAAATCAGTCTCCACATTCCTACTACGTTTATTTTGTCATTAATAAAAGCTTTTACTAACATATCTCATAAAAGACTAAAGATTTGATTTAATTCTCTGCATTTAAATAGAACTCAATAAACACCAAATTTTAAAATTTCGGTAGAGTTAAATGGCCCATTCATTAGAGTTGATTCGATCGGAATATGCAGTAACTTAAAAGTGTGTGGCATTTGCATAATTAAATAGAGCAACGAATTTGCCATAATTACTACTTTTGGAACTAAATGGTACCTTACTGCGGTCTTTCAAAATACCCTGAGAATACATCTTTCCTAATATGCCAAAATATGCTTGTGGAAATCAACTTGTTGAATAAAGCGGTTCTACCTGTCCACTAATTTCTCGCTTCATGTATAATCGTTTTCTAACCACATCCACACACATCAATCCGATAGTGAGACAGTTGATTTAATACGGCAAAAAATTGTGCTTTCTTATGGTTAAATTCCATTTCACTATGAAAGGCTTATGAGAACTCATTGCCACTCAAGTGCAGTCCCATTTCCAAAAATTGAACGAGATAGGGGAATAAAAGTATAAATCTAGTCTGTTGCCCAAATTATGCGAATTGAAATTTCCCAGTATTACTTGATTAATCAAAGCGTTTGTTGAATAAAGAGAAAAAAGTGTTCGACAAAAACTGGTCTCGTAGAAAATGACTAGAACACGTTGCAGTTAAAACAACCTCTTCCCATTAAAGCAGCAGTTGTATTTACATCAAATGGAAGGCGTTTTTATGGTTATCATTAGCCCTTTAATTGGTTTCAGGCTTCAGGAATGAGCAATATCAAATTGAAAAAAGAGGGGAGGGGGGAACAGAAGAGTGTTTCAACGACGAAGATAGAAATGGTGGAAAAAAGGTGAGATGTGTATTGTGAAAGTATTCGAATATGACATACAGTGGAGTGATGGTAGTTTGAAGTCTGAAGTCAACTGACGGTTAATTGACTTTTTGCCGTATAATTATATGTTGCCCGAGGTGCACCATTTGGGGGTAAGTCTATCACACACTCCGGAGACGATATTACCGATAATAATAAATTTCGATTACTTTATCAGGCAGGCAGAAATGAGGCCACATTCCGTTCAATATAACAACATTCGAAATTAAAAAAGTGTGATCTCTATGGACATTGATATTAAAACTTATTGGTGGCTCTGTAAACGTGAAACTTTGCTATAGAAATGCAATGAATTATCATCAAGGCTTATTCGACCATCACTCCCTAAGGGGTTTGAACAAAATATTTTGCTCATTTTGAACGGGAGAAAATAACGATTAATTGCCTGGTAGTAAGTCAAATGCAATTAGTGTGATATAAAAATATATGATTGTAATATACGTTTGAAATTTAAGGGTCCAAAAAATACAAAACTCTTCGAAGCATTGAATTATTGTCACCTGCTATAATAGATAAGTAATTTAGCAAAATCACAAGTGGGTGAGTTTAATCGATTTTTTTCCAAATTACAAAGTGGGGAAAATATTTATACGAATGTGCAAATTGTACAAAGCACGTAATTGATTTTTAAATTAAGATGTCTCCTGGATTCAAAGAAGTGGAATTGAGATAGGTAGAGAGATAGGTATGTTAATTCAAATTATTCCCTTCAAAATTCCCTATAGGCACGGAAAAGTATATTTTTTCGATAATTTCTTAAGACTGAGTAACTTGTATAATCCCAATTTCAAATCACTCATATTGTCTTGTTACTTACTAAGCCTTGATATTGTATGAGGTGTTTGGTGAGAGTACTTCCCATTCCATTGAGTGGGATATTATAAGATGTTTACTTTTGAGAGAAGTGACTCTTACTATAAGAAGTCATAATCGGAATTAAATTAGGCTGCCAACTTAAATTATTGTGCAAAAATTGCAACTGTTTAAATGATTTGAGTAAAAAAGCACTCTCATTTTCAGGGCTGCAAAGTTTCCTTCTGGGAAGAGGGAAAAGTAGGAACACTCTAAAACTGATTTCATTCAAAACGTTAAGGACTAATTTATTCCTATTCAAGAGATCAACAGAGTTATTTTCATGAATAGGACAAAAGCCCATTTTGACACCCTACTTCTTGTTTGCATTTGAGCACTAATATTGTGGCATTAAAATGAAAAACTATTCGGCTTTATTCCGATAAGTGAATAGTAGTAGAATTTCATATGTAAATGAAGATAATTAAAACCTAATAGAACACTGAAATAACTTGTAAACAACAGCCAACATGCCATATCAAGTTCTAAATCACATGACATTCCTAAATATTGGAATTTAAAATGAATTGTATTAAATATTTATTCATTTCAAATGGAAGGGCTTTATGATATAAGTTATCATTAGCCTTTAAACTTTGAATTTAGCCTCCCCCAAGGGTGGGGTGTACATTTATAGCAATTACTTAATTTAATTTTGACTTCAGCTTCCCCAAGGGTGGGGGGTACATTGGAGGGGTATCATTCGCAATTTAACTTTGACTTCAGCTTCCCCCAAGGAAGGGTGGGTACATTTATAGCAGTTAATCAATAGCGGAAAAACTTTGACTTCATCTTCCCCCAAGGGTGGGGGGGGGGGTACATTTATAGCCTTAATCTTTGACTTCAGCTTCCCCAAGAGGGGGGGGGGGTACATTTATAGCGGTTATTAACACAGCCCATGGGTGGGGGGTACATATATAGCAGTTAATTAATAGCAGACATTAGCAGTCTTCTTGCTTCCCAGTATCTTTGGCTTTCCTGTAGCTGTCTTCTTGCTTCCCAGTATCTCTGGCTTTCCGGAGTAGCTGTCTTCTTGCTTCCCAGTATCTCTGGCTTTCCGTAGCTGTCTTCTTGCTTCCCAGTATCTCTGGCTTTCCGTCAATGTCATTAGAACTGGACATCGAATCAGGTGGGTCTTCTCCATTTCCTTCTGCAGGTTACATAGAGGGCATGTGGTTTTGGTGTATACTCCAAATCTGTGAAGGAGTCCGGTAAGTAGTCTAAACTCGGCAACGTCTCCGATTCTTGGTCAGTCGGCTATATCGGAGAGTGACACTGTCCAATGTTTCTCCTTTGTTAAAGTTGTAAGTTCGTTGCTCCATGAGGTCTTAAATTCTCTTCTGATTAAGGTCTTTATTGTGCGGAAAGACATCAGTCGACGCATGCATTGTAGAATCGTTGTCTCCTTCTTAGCAGGTTTGTCAGCAAGCTCATTGCCTTTAATGCGACAGTGACCAGGAATCCATTGTAGAACTTGCCTTTAATGCGACAGTGACCAGGAATCCATTGTAGGATCACTGTTTGGTTTTTCTCTCTCAGCAGGTCATAGAGTTTTCTACATTCCTTTATTTCAGTTGTTTTGGATGGCTCTCTGCTTCCAATTGAGTATATTGCTGCCTGTGAGTCCGAAAGTATCACCCCTTTGGTGAATTTCGTATCCAGGCAACATAATTGGCATAGTGCTATCCCAATGGCCTCCATTTCCCCTTCAAAAGCGGGTCTATTGTGTCCCGCTACTGCGTAGAAAGAGAAGAATTCAGAAAAGACACCCGCGCCAACGATTGCATGGTTTTCTATGTATGACGCATCAGTAAAGACTTGGAGCCATTGATCTGCAGGATAGTTGACATTGATTGTCTCAAGGGCCAGTGAGCGCATTTGCTCTATAGGGGGTGTTTGATTACCTGAAAAAGACAAGCACTTAAGTGTAACACGCTACATCAGAATAGGCCAATGAGTTCATGGGTATAGGGAGGCTTTTGGTTTGTCATCTATTTGTACTTCTTTCTTCAGTTTTTGGCTTTCTGTATTAGACCAGGTTTGCAAACTGTTGACAATGAATCGCGTATTTAAATAGTAAACTTGGAGTCAACTAATTGGGTGTCAACCATAGTTGTTCTTATTACTCAAAATTAGTTACTATTGCTGCAAGTAACTTTTATTTATACCGTTCCCCATCAACAATAGGGTCATAATTTTTGTTCTTAATATTGCACGATATTTTCTAAAAAAGCAAAAATATATTTCTACGCACCCAATGTACGCCAGGTATCAAATTATTACGGAAGAAATTTATTCAAAATTAAAGCACTTTTACAGATAATCTTCACAAATAGCGCTTTGTTTACTGCTCCAAATTAAAGTATATATGGCGTTTTAGGGCTGTCTTTCGGCTTGTCTGTTTCCTCGCATGCATAGACTTGTATTTGAAAAACTAGAACAGCNGCAACATAATTGGCATAGTGCTATCCCAATGGCCTCCATTTCCCCTTCAAAAGCGGGTCTATTGTGTCCCGCTACTGCGTAGAAAGAGAAGAATTCAGAAAAGACACCCGCGCCAACGATTGCATGGTTTTCTATGTATGACGCATCAGTAAAGACTTGGAG